TGGCAGAGATTGCAAAAAGTGAAATTTTTTTCTGCTATCACATCAAAATTGATAAAGCAAAATATGAGAAGGTAAAAATATGGCGGAGAAAAACAAATGCAGAACAAACCAAAAACATTAGCACAATGTAAATCTCTTTGTTTCAGCGTTCATCACCGCAGCCTCTATACAGCATTCGTTCATTCAACAAATTGTTGAGGTAGTCAGGTATAAAATTTACACAACAACAATTTTTCACAGTTTTTATCTGCACAAACAAAAGAGAAAATTGAAAAAACTTGATAACAAAAAAAAGAAAAAGAAAAAAAAAACGTTTTATATAAACTAAACTAAAAAGTCGTTCTTGCTCTTTTTTCATTTTCAAATTTTTGTTCCCTTTTTTTTGCATTTTTCTCACAGCTAATTAAACTGTACTGTATGCATATATATGAGCTTGAAAAGAAAACAAAACTAAGTGAAACAATAAGAGGATGCAAGAAGATTCAGGAGAAAAATATCACAAAAAAAAGCGCGTAGGAGTAGTTGGGATGGGCAATGAGGAGAGTGGAGTGGGGAGAGGGGGAATGAGAGAGGAAGGAGAAGAAAAGAATACCGGAAGAATTTCTCCGTGAAAGCAGAAACGAAGCAAGCTAAGTGCTTATATTTCGGATACACATTTATCGGTGCCTACAGTTACCAGTTAATTTTTGCCTGATTCATCTTCATCTACTAACGTCAGAAGGAATAGTTGAATGTTGTAAAAAAAAGGGAAGTGGAGAAAGATGGAGGAAAAGGGCTGGAAGAAGGGGAGAAAACGAGGAGGAAGGAAGAGAGGGAAGAAAAGTTTTTTTTCTGTTTTTTATGGTATTTTTTTGTTTTGTTTGTCCGGATGGAATAATGATTTTTGTTGCATTACTGTAAGCGAGGTGATTTAGGACAGCTATGCAAATTGGATGAGGTGGTTGTAAACAATAAATTCAGAGGGCTGACACGTCGTAACCCTTTTTGATACGTTAAAAAAAAGGCGAAGAGAGTGTTTTACAAGGGAGAGAGAGAAAGAGGGCCAGTGGAAGACGGTGTTGTCAGTGTTGCTGTCTCTATTCGGTGGCTCATGTATTTGGATGCATGTTGTCTGTGTATGTATGCATGTATGTATGTGCGTGTATGTCTGTCCGGGTTTGTCCGTATGTGTATGTTCGTTTGTATGATGCTGTTGTTGCTGCTTCTACGTTCAACCTCGCTGCCGCCGCACCATCGCCGTCGCGTCGACCAACAAACTCGTGGTGATTGTGGTGATGATGGTGGTATGATGGTGGTTGGTTGGTGGGATAGTAGGATGGGTGGACGGATAGTTTTAGATGGATGGATGGATGGTTGGATGGATGGATGGACAGATGGTTGGTCGGTTATTAGTTGGATAGTTAGTTGGATTTAAGGGTGGAGGAAAAGTAGACGAAGAAGAAGAAGAAGAAGAAGAAGAAGAAG